CAGCGATGAACAGCTGATAACCGGAAAGGCGAATAGAGGGCGACAGCTCAGGATGATGCAACGGCGAATGAATGACGTGGCTACGGTTCGCGCGCAGTTTGAAGGCGCAGGAAACCAAGATCCTGTGCCGATGGAGCGGAGTTTGAACCGGTATTTTGCCCTGCCTCTAACCAGCTGCCTTGGAGCACCCTTACTCGAGGTCGTGGCGCTGTCACGACAGGTCCTGCTCAGCAACCACTGTACCTTTCGCCGTGGAAGGACCACACATCGCTTCCTTGGCAGCCAAGTAATTGCTCCGTGTGGCGCAGGTTCTCCCCCCGATGCGGAAATTCCTTATCGTAATCGCTTCCTTTAAACATTTCCACCATGCAGTGCAGATCCTGCTCTAACCAACTGTATACCTGTTCTGTCCAGGCCTAACTTTCAACAAGTGAGAGCGATGACTTGTCAGATGATGTCGAAACCGACCTACCTCTCTTTTTCGACTCAAAAAATTCCTAGCTTCAATCGTACGAGGTTACCACTCATATTGGTAAATGGGAAAGTGCTAATGAGTCGTTCGACGAATATGCTGTTTTCACTCTCCGGATTCTGAACTAAAATAATGTGGTCCGAAACTCTTGGTGAAAAAACGACACTGATATATCCGGTACCTAATACTAGGAAGAGAGGGAAGTATCAGCAAAACTTATCACTACCCTCAAAGGCTGATAGTGCGATTAATCTTTCACTTATGGAATTGAAAGTTGAGATGATACATGGAGCATTGGGGAAGAGAAATCCAAGTGAATCGTCCTGAACCCGCGAAGTTGGTCACTATTTTTGCAGGTTAATTTCGTGGCTGGACTATAAATGAAGTCGTCATTGTAGAGGACCTGCTCTGCTGCTGGAAGGAGTTTGAATGCTGTGGAAAGGTGTCCTCCTCATATGGGCAATTCCCACTTCCAGTTGGAGCATCTTGGCTGTAATGAATGGCTTTGCTAGGCCGCTGTGAGCACTCCTTTCACTGCAAAAGCGTCATATCTGGTACCCTAAAAGCGAAGGCTCTCCTGTAGTGCGAATATTTCCCTTTTTGAACATTTGATTCATCATGCCGTCACCTTTCAAGAGTGGGCTCCATATAAGGTTGGAAATAGAATCGGATTAACATTTCTGTACGTGACCTTTGGTCTTGAGTGCCACATCGCTTCAACACTAATTGTGTATTGAGTTGTCCCTCAATTCCTGGCCGATTTTGGTTCAAATTCTATTTCCTTCATGTCAAATTAGCTTCATGATCAAATTAGTGGATTTGTTGACGAGCACATCAGGGTTTATCAGCGGGTATGTTTTAAAAGCTCAAATACGCAACAGGATAGTTGAGTAGGAACCGAAATACATAGATCAACGACTAAATCCAACGATTATACCTTATGACAATTTTAAGAAGAATGTTACAAGGAACGTAGTAGGCAAGATCGCTATGTTTGCCCCATCCTTTGTTACTATTCGGGCACTAGGCTATTGGCTCAATAGCCTCGGCAACTACCATAGGACTTGCAAAGTTCGACTTCATCGTGGACCTTCCGTCACTTTCGATGGGGACCCCTTGCGTTATGAATCGGAAGCAGGGTCAACCCTATCGTTGTTACTCTTCGGAAATTTTTTACGACCCCCCCCCCTTCAGGGGTGGTTTGATACGACCCCCCCCTTTGTATGTAACACTTGCGTAGAGACAGTGTTTACAATCAATATTTATCTCTACGTAAGTCATTAAAGATGAAACTTTAGCAAAATCCATGACAGATATTCATCGCTGCTTGCAAACACGAAAAAATGAGATGCATTCAAAGATATCCGTGTACTCCAAAGGGTTACCAAACTAGGAGATGAAATAAGCTGAACCGGTGACAGTAATATTGACAACATTACCTGATAAAAACCTGTAAGAAGTCAGAAAAAATTATCGCGTCCCACTATAAAACAGTTAAATCCTCACGTTCTTCAATTGCAACACAATTTTTACACCCCTCTTTCTAGGGCTATAACTTCATTCATATTCGAGCTTTTGCGCCGAAGTGATTTGATCTGGAAAATTCAAATTATTCTCTTTCAACCATGGTAAATTCTTTCGGAAGTTAATTTAGTAAAATTTTGTACGTTGTTACTGTTTTCTGTGCAAAGGCGACTTTTTGACCTTCAAACGACCGATAACTTCCTTCAAAGTCATTCATTTGGGAAGCTGAACACGTATAATAAACTACAGGATTCAAGCTTCTAGCGAGCACCAAGCGCTTCTGAAAGATCAGTAGTCAAAAATTAGTCCCGTTGTTACTTTTTGGGGGTTTGGTGTTACTATTTTTTTGGAAACCGCGACTTTTTTGACCTTCAAACGATCATAACTTCCTTCATAGTCATTCATTTGGGAAGCTGAACACGGCATAATAAACCACAGGCTTCAAGCTTTCTAACGAGCACCCAATCGTTTCTGAAAGATCAGCAGTTCAAAATTAGCCGTTGTTACTTTGTATTATTGAGGGGTATTCTTCAAGCCATTTTTCTGAAAACGCGAGTTTTCTTAGGTTTCACTGCCCGTAACTTCTTGGAAGACCAATTTTATGTTCAATTAAGGATGTACTAGAAAGCTCCGAGCATGGCGCTTTGCACTACATCCCTTGCCTTGGTGCGCGCCACGCCTCGGGCGCCCTTCTAATTCGCGTGATTCATTTGAAAGCTCATTTAGAGGGAATCGGTTTATAGATGCTCTAGTGTCAGTCATCTTACGAAAACGTAACGTGTTGGCCGATATTATCCGATATTACCAAGAATCCCACTGTCGGCCACCGAGAGGGTACGACCCCCCTCCCTCCAAGCTCAACTGAGTACGACCCCCCGTTGTTACTCGTAACAACATAGGGTTGACCCTGATCCGGAGTGCATTCAAACGTTATTAGCAGGAAACTATAGCAAACACCTGGACGCACCCGACGCTCCATGAGCCGACACCTGAACGCAAGGGCTGCCGTGGAATTAAGTCTCGATGACATGAACATGTAGCGACTGACCATGACCGAGAAGCACGCCTGACCGTCAGCAGAAGTTCAATTCTGCGACCACATAGACAAGACATTCCCTACTAGGTCATCAGTGCAGATCATGGGTCCTCTACGATGACAGCACGCGGCCCGCCCGGTGGCTACCTCGCAGGCTGGACCCACCATCTCAACCAGAGCTCGAGCTCTTCCATCATCCTACTTACTATGAAGCGCTTCGTCTGCCGTTCTGTCTGTCTGTCTGTCTGTCGTTTTGTATGTCTGTCACGAAACTCCCTAGCTCCTCGCGATCCGCCTGGAGGGACAGGGTCAAGTGTGGGACGGGTGGGCAAGGTTCAACGAAGTACAAAACACACGTCAGCTAAGCGGAGCCCCGCCCACAGTGGGCGTAGCTTGCGTCGACATGAAGTGTACTGACGACCGAGATTTAAAGAAAGAAAACGACCTTGAAACTGGGCCAAAAAGTGGGTAAAGGTTTGCATTGGTGAGTAACATCGAATTAGGGAGACCCACCCCCGGTGGGCGGGGCGTTCTAAAGAAGCAGTCTTTTGTGAAAAATTTCATAACTCGGTTGGGAGAAATCCTACAGAGCAGAAAACAAATTGGTGTAGGGGAGCAATGTCTAGGGTGTTCCCAGCATAGATGATGTGGACGGAGGCCCCACCCACAGGGGGTGGAGCGCGTTCTGAAGTGTGAAGCATTTTCTACGAGTCCTCATAATTCGGGCCGGGAGGTCTTAGTGAGCCGGAAAAAGGTGGATGGAGGTGGGTGGGGGAGCGGAGGCCAGCTGTCATCGGTGGGGGGGGGGCTTGGCCAAAGTGGGCGGAGTTTGAGACGAAAATATAAAACTCGGCTCATATTACCCTGGCTTCGTTGGATTCACTGAGTACTCCCGTTTTGGGAATCATTTCACTTTATGCAGATAAGCATTACGTAAGTAACCAGGGAATAGTTCCCGAAGATGGTGGCAGCAGTGCTGGAAAACGATTCGAAACATCTCAAAACCTCCTTTCTCTGAAGGGCCGTTCAAAATCACATTGCAAAGAGTACCGCCATGTTGAAGGGAAATTGCGTGGACTACGTCGCTACATCTATTGTATAGCCTTCACATTGTTCCATTTCTGTCGCCTCCCGAGTTCCCTTAAGCAGCAGCTAGGAGAGAAGAAAGGTCGTGAATACAACCACCTTCGAAACCACCTCTCCGAGCTTTTCATCTCACAGCTTCATTCGTTCTGGGGGAAATGCATCCATTCGTTCCCCAGCAAATGGATGCATATCAATTATGATGGTGATTATATTTTTGATCAATTGTTTTTTTAGGAAAGATAAAAAAATGAAGAAATAAAAGTGTTGAAACTCGACTAGAAATTATAGGACAGCCCGATATCAGCGTGTTCACCGTTTCCTTTACACTTATTCGCTCATTCGTCTTAAGAAATAAGGTGACAAAGATCGACTTACTGTAAAAAAATATGAATATGGGAACGGTATCCAGAATATTAGTCAGAATATGTATAAGCGATGTGGTCAACTGCAACAGGTAGAGTAGCATGAGAAGTGGACGATCTAATACGGGATGTTAGGTTGTAACCAATTCACTTAACTGTGGCCGTCGAGTACACTTTTCCAACTGTTCCAGAATTTCTCTGTAATCAGAACTACATGATTCAAGTTCAATATTTAGGCGTTCAGCTTTTATGAGTCACGGGAAAGATTCCTTTCATGAAGCTCACGTTCGTAGAGTCCAATAGGGTGAGAAATTATTAATCATAAAACAGGATGCAAAACACTTAATTGGTAAAAGTATTATTAATGCTTCCGATTTTTGGATGGAAAACTAGTTAGTTCCAGTCAAACAGTGGCCTTCTTTCCTTCTCCTTGTGAGTATCTTGATCATTGCTGTTATATTCGGTCGTTGTCTCATTGAAGTGAAAGTGAAAAGATTTCACATACGGGACTAAGAAGCCAATGCCGTTACCCAATTTATCAAATTTAGGTTGTGCGATAATCGCTGCTCGACGCAGAAATCGTTTGAGTACTCGCTGGACATATCCCTCGCCGACGTGCTCGGCAGACCGCAACTTTGCTGCGAAAGAACACCCGTCAGTAGGTTTCAACTTGAGAACGAATCAACAGCATTCAATTGATGACTCTTTCAGGTAAGGTGGAATGAAGACCGGCTTATCGAGCAGGACAACATTTTGGATATACTCAAGCAGGTCTACTGCCGCACAATCACTCACTTTGCCGATTTCGTTACTGTTTGCCCAGAGTTGAACCTTTTGGGCGAGAGGGATCGGGTACCTTGTTACACTAACTTCTGTTATATCGTAACAAAGAAGTAATAGGACTTTTACAGTTTTGAACATTAAAATAGGTTCTGCAGAATAAAACCTGGAAGTGTCTTTTTTCAATCATTTTATTCTCACTTCTTCAGCTTGCTGTGTGCAGTGCAAATTACTGCGGAGTTGTGTTGCTTATGATGGTCTACAACGCATACCTGGGCGGTTGTGAAGGGATTCTTTTCCCTCACGGATTCAAATACAGCCTGTCGCAAAAGAGAGACGATGACGAGTATGTTCGGGTTATTCTTTTGTTGTTTACATCTCCTCATCCTGACATTGTATGCACTCTCAAGGGCTTTGATGGAGCGCTTTTTTAAAATGTTTTTCCGAGTTTTGTAGAGGCTCATGTGAAGAACACCGAACCATCGCCCATTTTTTCCTGAACGAATGTCAAAACAGCGGGGAAGATATGGTCCAAAGTTCGATCCTCCGTGAAGACAAAACTTTGCAATTCATGTTGGTGCCTCAAAATCGCCGCAAAATACGACAATGACATCTATTCTCGACGATGGCGCCATCTGGTGACTTTCTGGGAGCGCCAAACTATGTATTTATATTGCGAAAATCGGTCATCAGCCGGGATCGAACTCTGGACCATTTCTTCACTTCCGTTTTGACATTCCTGGAGGCATTCAGGAAAAATGGATCATGGTTCCGTGTTCGTCGCATGAGCCCCTACATCACCCAGAAAACCGTTTCGAAAAAGCGTCCCATCTCTTGAAAGACCTCCATTGTCGGACGCATGAAGACACATTCACGACATGGTGGATCAAATGTCTCAAAGGTTCTGAAAAGGGGGAGGGGGCAGTAGACGCGACGAAATAATCATTTCGACTAAAGGTTTAGAAATGACGCTATGAGGCCATAAACGCTGGTGCTGTCCCCCGCTTCCATGTTCCTCCCCACAATACCCATGCAGCGTGTTGTTTTGATCTCTTTCGCCTCAATGATCTCACTCCTCGGTGTAACCTGAAATTTGCTTGTTCGCTTCGAACGGTAATAATTTCAACTCTAATAGTTGTTTCAAGTCTAGACAAAGTGAGCTTATTTTGCCCTCCTCGTGCAACAGAAGATGAGATGCTGTAGGGCTTCGAAAATTTCCTGCGGATTTCCCAATAATGAGTTGGTGTACCGTACACAGATCAAACTCGAGTTTGGATTAAGAACCAAGGAGATTGAAGAATTTCTGTTCTGGGGAGCCGGTCCGGACTATTTCTTGGAACATTAATCCGCCAAAATCATTGCACTTTTTCACTTGCTTTGGTCAGAAGCGTCGAATCTCTCTTTTGACGATAACGGGTTGATACGCGCCTGAACCATGAATTAGCAATGGGAACTGCTGCTTTGGGATACACCAGGCGTGTTCTAAGGGGCATCACTCCCCAGATGTTAGAATTTGGTGGTTCATCGCACGATCTACTTCCATTTCCATGCACTTTATAATAATTGTATTATATTATTTCCCGGCCGATGCACCATGTTCTGAGGGCATCAATCCCCAGATATAACAGATGGTGGTTCATATTTTGGAATTTACACTTCACAACAACTCATTTATTATTCCTGAAACCTTTATAAACAGAACGAGCCTAAGTTCCTACGACCAATATAAATGACTTTTGAATTAATTGACTTGAAGGCCTTGACTTTTGACTTTGATACTGTGAACCCTGTTTCAAAGGGGGAAGCTTGCTTCTGCGAGTCCACCTCTAGCCCGATCCTTTCCTTTACGTGGACGCACTGGGCTTTGATGATTCAGTAGCTGAGCGATGGCCGGGGGCGCCGAGATAACTCGGCATTCCATTGGCCAAGAGTCAGTCTGCTGCCGAGGGAGCGCAAGCCCAGCCGTACGCTCCACGCGCTTGAAACCCTGCGGAGCAGGAGGCGGAGATAGGAGTATGACATTATGAACGTGGAGTTCATGACAAGGCGCTCGTCTCAGGTTGAAAAGCTGTTCTACTCCAATGGGCCTTGCAGACGTCGAATTCTGACGCTGTTTAATACGCCCACAACTGTACCTCTTTTAGTAGTGGTCAAAATGGCCCCCCATTGAACTCGACAGAACCCACAGTCGACCCTGGTAGGACCTACTTTGTAATCTATAACTGCTCAGGTTCAACGAATTCCTTCAAAGTCTTGTGGAGTATCTTCACCGCAACGTTGGCACGGTTTTCCGCGAAATTCAAATCACAGCCGAGGAATATTCGTTTTTGAAAACTATCGTGCTCTTCTCCGGAGGTAAGGAGTTACTTTTAATGCTTATTTGAAGCGAAGTCTCGGGATAAAATGGTTGTGGAAGAGCGATCAGAAATGAGGCTGGAGGTGCAGAGTGATCCGGAAATGAGAAGAAAGCAAGAGGCTTCTCACTCCCCTCCCCCCCCCCTTATGCACCCAATAACGGCATTCTTCGTTCCAGCCACATTACACCTTGGGTTAGAGAAGGGGGGGGGCGTGGTATAGTGACAAGTGGCACGCTTACCTCGCGAGCGGTCCGGGGATCAAACCCTGAGTCGTGAGTCGCCCAGGCCAACCAAGCCTTCCATCCTTCTGGGGTCGGTTACTTGGTACCAGACTTGTCTGGGAGGTTAATAACACTGACTTCTACATCAGCTGGCCCCCGCAAGTCATTCTATAGGCCGCATCGCATTCAAACGCCACTACGAATGTACAAATGGAAGTAGGATGTGTGCTGCATCCCAAAAAAAGGGGATATATACCTTTATGCCTATAGAAAAGAATCGTGTTGGACGAGTTTAACGAACCTAGCTACAGTTGCTCTAATGCCAACACATTGAACCGTAACGGATCTGCGGCTGCACCCGCATCGCGATCGCCCATCGCTCGGCACAATTTCGAAATCTGACGGGCATCTTATCGCAGCGTCACGTGGCAGCCGATCGCGGAAGACGGACTTCAGGCGCATCCATCGCGCCCTTCCAAGCCGCAAAAGGGGCCCCATATCAACCCTTTTTCGTCTACCTTCGGGGATGGACTAATACCTGGACGTGTTGAATAACAGTTCGTGGAAGCACGAAGCGAGCAAAGTGTTCAATAAGGCTTAGAGAGTATGTGAGCAGGGAAACCTGGTCGCGATAGAGATCAAACGAAGGAGTAGAGATGGGCTCATGTACCGCTGTAAAGCGCAACCGCTTCTGACATGATATGCGTGTGGTCGCCCCGCAGGTCGTCGTCTGCTCATAGCATTTCCCAGCGCTTTTTCAGATGCAGTGACTGCTGCGGGAATAATCTAGTAATTGAGTGAATGGAAATAAGGACAAAAAAGTAGGCTAAGACGAAATCGGCCTGAGAGCTACGCGATAAAACGATAGTACTTCCGTGCTTAGAAGATCGAAGAAGATCATTTTTTTATACAACATGTGTTCCATTGTTCCATCACTCCTCTGTCCTATGTGAACTGTGAACAATTTCAGTGATCGGTTTGACGGACTCCGGTTCCAGTATCGTACTTAAAGCACAACGACGATATTCCGCGCTTTTGTCCGAGTATGTCGTGTCATCTCGTCCTGATCTCACCCAATCAGAGCAGCTGACCAGACTTTCACAATTGTTTGGCATTATCCCATACATAATGGTTCGTTTTGCTTAGGTTTTTATTTTGATGAAATGGTCGTGTTGAAGCCATTCGAGGCTCATGTACAATAACGGTCTAAAGTTTGGGAACATCTTTTGTTTCTGATCTAACCCGGCCCATAGACGACGAAATTGTGCCAAATTCATCTACTACAAAACCATGTGTGGAATACGATGTGGAACATAGCTCCCTAAACTAATCAATGTAAACAACTTTTGATAAAAGAAACTAGAAATTAAATAGTAATATTTTTTTCGAGAAATGGCGCGTCAAAAGTCTGGAAACTCATGGTTTCCCTCATCATTACAGTGTCTGCTCACCAGTGTTCGCATGCTCTCGTTGATGTTAAATCAATAATTGACTACTAGGAGTTTCCAAATGAATCTATGTAAAAGGGTAACATTACCTCCATAAGAGAGGTTTTTTAAAGTCAACAGCCCGGGATACAAAATTGCAATTGTTCCTCAGTAGTTTTCCCTCTACGGAAGCAATACTGTCAAGAGTTACTAGCGTTTTCGGAGTCGAACACGATAAGAGAATGACCCTTGTAAAAAACATTCTCACAAGAAAATTTGCACTATTTACCCTTTACTGCCCCACTAATCAAGAACTGAGCCGGATTTTGATCGAAATTCGTCCATGACTGTGGCTTTTGCTAGAAACTTGCATTCAGAGGCAATTTGACCCGTAGATCACGAATATAATACCGGTTTAGAGCGAGAACGCTTGGCGCCGGCGCTATCACAACAGTTTCGCGCGGGCGCTCGTAGCGCAGGCTACAGGTTCACTCGTAACAAATTGATGTGATAATCATATTCTACGGGTCAAAATACCTCTGAGCACAACTTTCCAACGAATTTGGGGATCCGAGAATTTGGGGATCCGAGATGTTCTGGCGCCTTTTGGCGCCGGCGCTTCTGACGCGAGCGTCAGGCGTTCTAGCGGTAAACAAATGTGATATTCGTGTTCTACGGGTCGAATTACCCCCGAAGACAAGTTTCTGGCCAAATTCACAGTTGACCAATTTCGATAAAAATCCGGCTCAGTTCTCGAGGAGTGGGGCAGTAAAGGGTAAATAGTTCCAGAAAATTTCCCCTTATCGAGGACCTTGAAAGGTGATTGATATGTCCCATCCTTCCGACATCCCCAAACAAGAACAACTTTCGAAATATCTTCCCAGTCAAATGAAACTGCAAGTGCAGCTCATAGTTGGCTAGATCTGGCGAGAATTACTGGAGATGTGTCAACAAGAACCCATCGTTGGACTTCAAGAGCAGGGATGGCCCAAATGTCTCCTCACATTAAACCTAGGGCGAGGTAAGAAGTTGTGTTCAGCCATGGCTGGCCTCCCTCCTGACAGTGTTGTCGTGGGCTTTCTGAAGTGTTTCGCCAAATATTGAATAAAACAATAACAAACAACAATAACAAATAACAACAAACAATAGAAACCCCATTTTGTGTATCAGATTCGATTCCAAAGTCAGAAAAAGTGTATTGATGTGAAAAAAAGTATTGCTATGGGTGAAGACGAGTATGACCATTCAGCGATTCCCCAGTTCATAGTATCCATCGAAATGTGGGATGATCAAATACAAGGATAGTCTGGAGAATACATGCATATCTTCGAGTAAGATCAAGCCAAAAGAACGTGGGTTCTCTTTAACGGCAATGATCCGATGCTGGCCTATCTCTCATTGCGGGCTTCCTGAAACCAGAAAAAAGCTGGTGAAACGACCAAGTCAAGATCTGTTCTTTCACTGAGTTCTGCACTCAGCCGAAGAGCAGGCACGTCGTACAATTCACATTTCAATGAAGAATCCCATTAAACAGTTTGCTTTGTTATAGTTTAGAAAGTGTAGGCTTCGACTCAAGAGTCCTAAAATGATGTTCTGACCAATTCAGTGTCACTAAAAAGGATGCTACCATACAATTTTAGACTATTCAACAAAATGTAAATTTCCCATATGGACTCGGAACTACTGGGCTGAATTCGCTCCGGAATTGAAGAGTTCTCAAACTTCTGCACGCCATTTCTTATAAAAAGTCGTGTTTTTCAATTGCGATCTTTGATTTTGAGGCTTTATATTGCACATCGTTTGCTTCCACCTGATTTTGTGTACAACATCTGAATTAAGGACAGTTTCATAGCCTAATGCATGCGCTAGGTCAAAAGAAAAAGTTCCCAAACTTCTGACCGCTACTGCACGTACTTGTATATGTAGATGGAAGCAGCCAGTATAAGAAAAGATGACGCGCTACGCCCTTCTTTGAAGCAAATGTCCTTACTCAAAAAAGGATCCTACACTTTGCGCAGAAGTCGTAAGTAGAATGGCTCGAAGATAAAAATCGAAAGGTTCTCTGCTGAAAAGCTGTAAAAGGCGTCTTGGAGCATCGAAGAATATGCGAAAAAGACTTGGTACACAGCAGGAGAATCGGCGAACTGCAGAGTACGGGGTTGTAGATCGTCAGAATCTGCGAGTCGGAGATTATGCGATAATACGAACCGATCGATTGTTTTATTGTTAACAAAAAGCTCAAATAAGCAGCGCGATTCCGCTCGTACCAGCGAATTCTCCGACATAGAACACGAACATCCGACATAGAACTCTCAACATAGAAGCGCCAAGAACGATTCACTTTCTACTGCTATCAACCGGCAACTCAAAGTTGTTGCTAATCGCTGAATGGGACGTCATAAAGCTCTTGACATGCGTCGTGATGTGAACACAGCAGCGAGGAGAAAGGAGTCCCAGGTGGAATCAACCGCTGTTAAAGGTATACACTGCCAGACTGCCAGACGTGATTACTCATAGGAGAACAGTGCCCCCCTGGTATTGGGCTGTTTCCGCCGATTTTGACACTGAATTCAAATGCGCATATCTCAGTTCAAACATAACGATTACAATCGAAATAAAAGCTGTTATTATCCCCGCAAGCCTCCTGTCAAGGCAAGGCCGGTGGTAAAACATTACAGTTGTTGGAGGGGCTGGAATTTTGTATGCAATAAGTCCGGCGAAGGCCATTTAAGCATCATGCTGAACTTCGTGGCATTTCTCTTCAAGGCTATACAGATAGTAGAAAAAGTGGCAGCGGATATGCAAGAGGTTTGGTGAGTAAGATGTTAGCGACGCACATTGGTAGCCTTATCTATTAGGTTGTCTCATAAACAGTGTCGCTTTTTTTCATCCAAAAAATTTTCGTCTAAACCTCCATGCTTTTACATCGTGTTGTGTACCATTCGAAAGAGAATTGTCTGCTCCACAAAATACTATGTCCCTTTTCCACATTTCTCCCAGGGTTTTCAAATTTTGGGCCTGTGAAATGGGAGGTCCGGCCGACAAAAAATGGCCAAACCGACAACAATCTCTAACATTATCTTTCCTTGGGAGAAATCAATCTATGATGTACCTTCTACTTATGCATGACCTCTTCTAATCATTACACTACTAGGTTTTCCTACAAATCGCGTCGTTCAATTTCCAGAGCTGGTTTTTCAACCAGAACTCGACGGTCGAGCACCATTAACTGAGATCTAGGTCGAAATTTTTTTATGGCCGAGACGTTGAAGAACTGCTTGAATTTGAAGAACAAGTCATGACTAAGTTAGGAATGTACGACTGGTTGATTTTCTCATTTTCTAAGGGATAATTTTTTTCAAAGAAATGTGGTCACTATTCGCGGTAAAGCACCTTATACCGAAACATCTAAAATTCAAACTAATTCCAACAAACAGAGAAACAAAACAAATGAGCGAGTGGAGCAGAAGAAGTGCTCGTAAAAGGAACACCACTCGATATGAAACAATGACGTTACGAGGAACAATTTTAATTTGAAAATTGCTATGGCTTATCCGTCAGCCAATTCGAAAAGAGAAACGGCAAAGCTTTTTCGGCAACCTAAGAGTGGAATGTTTAGAAGAGGTCATGGGTAAGTATAGGTATATCACTGGTTGATTTCTTCCCAGGGAAAATAAAGTTACAGCAGTTGTCGGGTCAATTTTTGCCGGCGAGACCTCCCTATTTGCTGGCCGGAAATTCGAAACCTCTAGAATAGCGGTGGAAGCGGAACTAAGCATTTTGTAGAGCAGACAATTCTCTTCCGAATGATATATAAAACGATGTAAAAGTTTCATGATTTAGATGAAAATTTTTTGGTTGAAAAAATACGACATCACTTATGAGACAACCTAACAGTTCAATTTTTGCAGGGTTAGCGCTGCAATGTGGGTTCAAGGCACATCGCGAGAGGAACCGTCCCCTTTATGATAATTCTTATGGGGAGCATTCATTTAGGTTTTCGGTGATTTGACACTCTGTCGAGAGTAGTCCTCTGCAACATTTGCGTCTGGGCTAAGAGCCGCACCTGTCACAGCCCTTGTGAAAGTGTTTACAACTTTGCCCTTGTGCATTCCACCTTTTAGAGAACCTGCTGAAGCTAATCTCGCTCAAAGTTTTCAGAGGAGGCTCGTCTATTATTGTCACGAGTCACTTCTGTGTTGCACGTTACAACTTAATCAAGAGAGGGTCGTTTTCATTGAGCGGAAGAGGGTAGAAAGAGAGCAGATGAGTGTTGGAACCAGGACTCTCAGAGCTACACGCTTGTCGACTTTTTCAAAATTTTTGGACTTCTGTATTTATTTTAAAATCACAGGTGGGTTAATTCCGTGCTAGGCTCCTCTACCGTTCTGTGTAAATTTGGTTAGGTCAAAATTCTAATCAATTTTTATATCCAACCTCTACCCTCTACACTCGCAATTTCTAGGAAAGCTAGCTGAACCATTGCTGCACAGCGCCGTGTCTGTGAATCTTACACCAACACATAGATGATATTGGGACGTGCTCGCGCCTCTCTTCGGCTATTTATGGTTGAAATAATAAAGTAATGCGAAGTCGCCTTGGATAGGTGGTCTTTAAGGCTTCAAGGAAGTGGCAGCAACTGCTTTTGAACAAAACTGACACCACCACTAGATAGAGCGAGGAACGCACTTCAAAAAGATATGAAAGCTGCAGCAAGTT